TTTCAGATTGTACTGTAAAATCAAGGACTAAAAATGAGTAAATAGTGAAGTGAAAACCAGCCAAATTATCTATTGTGTCTCAAAATAAGATTTTAAATTTTGGCAAGTCCGAGATTATTTGCAGTGTCTAACAAGCTGTGATCTGGATTACAGTACAAACCATCACCAGCTGCTCAAGCATGGTGGTGGTAGTGTTATGCTCTGGAGCTGTGTTGGTGCAATTGTTGAACTGGTGCTTCACACAAAGTAAATGCAGGAAAACAGAAGGAGGATGATAAAACCATCAGCTAGAAGGTCGGGTCTTGGACGTAGCTTGGTGTTCCAGTAAGACACAAAACACACATCAAATATTGTAAAGAAATGGAAAATTCAGGCTGGACTCCACCATCAAGAATCTGTGCTGAAGAAACACATCTGTGTCTGAAAGCCAACAAATTTAGTTGAACTGCACCAATTCTGTCAAGAAGAGTGGTCAAGGATACAACCAGAAGCTGGTGGGATGGCAACCAAAAGCCCAAATATTACCAGGGTTACATATATATTTCCAAAAGATCTGTAATAAATTAATTAAAGAACCCAATTGCATCATATTTTTTTTCTGATGAAGGCTCATGTTTCATTAATTCCGTCATAGAAATTTAAGAGTTACTGGATTTTGAATCTCACACGTGGTCTTTACTGGTGTATGTTTATTTACAGCTATAAGTTCCTCGTGTTAAAGGAAAAATGACAACAGAAGGCAGTTCCTGTTTTCCACAAGCAGCACAGGAAGCACTAATGAAACCAAGCACCGTGGGTTTGCTTTTGATTTTTTCTGTTTTTTCCTCCTTTATCACTAAATCTGTTCCTTCTCCAGGCTCACTGACTTTTAAATATAAGGGTTCCGGCTCAGTACTGTACAGCTGAACAGCTCTGTGCGAGTCGCTGTGCGGTGGCAGGTGCGCTCGCTAAGGTTCACTTATTTACATTTGGCTGTTCATTACTTTCTCCCCAGGGCTTTTGCCTTAAATAGGCCGCACGATCGAATGACAGTCGCTGCTCTCCAACACCATTTCAATTTGCATTTGTTACGGTTTATTTATCTACCTCTGTTCTCACTTGTCATTAAACAAAAAAAAAACACTTCCCACTGAATGGTAGCACTTCAGTACTCTGGTCTCGGCACTGTTTCTCTGTCACCTCTGTCCTGGAAGAGACAGATTTCAGTCAGTCTGTCTTCCCAGTGTTCTATAGTGTTCCTGGCATATTGTATGTGTGTGTGCATGAGTATGTGTGTGAAAAAGTCTGTTTATCATGTATCATTTGGATAATGTCTACAATAAAATAACCAATCTACAACACGGGATTTTCTATTTTTATCTCTTTGAATTATACCTGCTATTGTCTGGGATTTATGCTTCCTGCAGGTGTGCTCAGGTATGAAAGTGGAGTGGGAGCATCCCCGTGCTATTGGCCCTCCCGCTGGCATTTGGCTGCACCGCTAATATTTTATTGATTATACACGCTCACGTTTTTACAAGCACTTACAGCAGCTGCCGTGCTGTAAATTCACCTTTTACAATGTCTCTCATCATCCCTGCTCACCGCATATCAGCATCTTGTTTGTCTGCTGTATGCTTCCCATATCTTCCCCCCGTCTCTCTCTTTTTGGGTGCCTCGGTGTCTCTCTCGGGTTATTTTTCTCTCTCTCTCCCTCTCACATATTTCCTATCGCTCTGCTGTGCTCGAGTCCTTCGAATCGTTTTCACTTAACATCGACCCTTTTTTTTCTGGATTCGTAAGTTTATAGCTCTTGGCAGACGCACACATACATGGCACATATATATATATATATATATATATACACTGAGATGGCTGGAAAGGCAGCACTTGTGTGTAGAGAGCAGGCTGCACACACACACACACACATCCACACACATTCACACACACACTCACACACTGCGACCAAGGACTGTGTTGACATTGGGATTGTGGCAAGAGGAATACAGTGGCAGTTTTTCTGTGTTATAAAATAAAACTTAGCTGGCTCATCTTCAGAGAAACAGAAGATTACAAATACCTCCGTTTATTGCACGTTATGAAATAGAGATAGAGCTCAGCCCTGCATGCTAGCTCCACATCTCCCCCTGTAGGCTGAAGCGAGGATGGCACGCCATATAATTCACCTGGCTTTGTCTGTGTGACTTACATAAAAGCAGCCAGACAAGTAGTGTGTCGTATAATTTTAGTGTTTGAAATTACAACTACGCTGTAATGATAATTACAATAACACTAATAGCAACAGGACTGTTAAACTCCCTGCACACACCCCCCCACAGGTGTTCCCCGCTTACATCGAAGGTGGGCAACGCTGTGTTGGGAATCATGTTAGGTCACCGGACTGTTCGTGCTAATAAGAATGATGATTGTGTGATATTTACAGGTGTAATTTTCCACCACGAGGTGCAACAAGGCTATAAAGAGACTCAAAGGGGTGTCAATAAAAGAGTCTGTGCATGCATAGGCAGTCCTAATCTGGTTTCATAATTGAGTGCCGTGCCTGTGTACAGTCAAGTAACACCCTTTTTTTTTTTACAGCGTACCTTTATGAAGGACTCGCACTTGACGTTGTCAGTTACGGCTGATTAGACTTGAGTTTAAGCTGATGCCGCGCAGGGCCGTCCTTGAAATTATGAGAGTTAGCAAATTTAATGCACTAATAAAAGTCGTCAACACTTTAACAAGTGCGACAGGAACGTTAGGAAGATGTCGGTTTGGCACATCGAGATGAGCCTGAGAGGAGGTCGGATCTGGTTCTACCACGAGGAGCTTTAAATTGATTTGTAAAGGGATGAAAAGCAAATACATATTTACTATCTCCCTGTTTCGCATTGGTCAGCTGGAGCACCGTCATTATATTATAAGACAGATGAGAAAGCTTCTCTTGACTCACATGCTCGCCTACAAAAGTAATTCTACCAGAATAATGACTGTTCTGAAGAATACCTCAAACAAGATATAGAATGTTAAGTAAATTTAGGGGCATAAAAAAATAAAAGAAGTTCAGCTAAGCTTTACCATAAGCATCGGTCCCAAAAGGGAATTGATCAGAATTGGCAGAGAACTGTGCATTCAATAGCAACGTCGGGCTTTAGAAAAATGGATTATCCCGTATTTCCCTCTGCAGCGTGCCCTCTGCTTCTCCGGCGTGTTTGTGTTTTCTTTTAAGCGCAAATCATGCCGTGCAATTTTGTGTGTATCACAGTGTGGTTGTGTGTTTGTCTCTGAACAGCAGACGGCTAAATCACTTTCTTTCTCTGTTTTTTTTTCTCTTTTTCCGACTGCCTCTCCCTCCACAGGGAAACCAGGCGAGTTTGATCTTTGAAGCTAAAAACAATATTTTATTGAAAGCATAAGGCAGCACACAGATTAAATAATGTGATCCAAGGGAAAAGACTGGATGTTCATGATGCAATTTGATAGACACAGAGGCCTGAGTCAAACCGTGGAGCACTTTTAAATGAGAGAAAATCCACTGTCATTTTCACGTGTGCAGTACCTGGTATGTCACACTGGTGGGTTTATTGATTAAATCTTGTATTCAAGGGATTAAAGCAGATGATATATTTGCTATTATATGACTTGTTGGTTCTCTAATTTAAGGGGCAGAGGTTGAAAATTGATTTAGAAAATGCTTAATGTTCTGGCTGAATGGTGATAAAACAAAAACAGGATGTGTAGTTACAGAGCTGTTATATGCGGACTTGTGCAGATATTTTGGTTTTATTTTCACCTGACTTTTCAGTAAGATGTCGGTGTTCTCGTCGATTCAGCAGGTAGGGACCCAGGATCCCCTGATGAGCAGAAGTCAAAGTGTCTGGGATTTAGCTGCATAAGCCTCGTGTGTGCCCTGCTTTTGGATTATGGATCTGGCATTTGGCGATTCCATGAACAGTTTGATTGTTTTTGGGGGAGTTCATAAACTCGCACCAGTTTCGGGCATTAGCGGGGATATGGAACGGAAACCTCCGAACGTCCGACATAAATGTGAGATGATCCAACTTTGGAGCAGAGCTGTGAATGTGGCTGAATGGTGGCTTGCTAGAAAAGATTTTTAATTGGGACATTCTGCTTGAACACCCATGGATTAGTAAGTTGAAATCCTTGTTTTGCATAATAGACCCTCCCCAAAAATGGACTACAGAGCAAAACTCACTGTGAACTGTTCAGGATGTACACAAAGAGTGATGCTCTGTTGATGTTTGCTATTAAACTAAACGAACAACATAACGTCTACTCCAAATACCTGCTGATCTTTCATTCATACCGTTAACTATAAAACCTGTTTACTGTGATTTAGGTGCGACTTTAATTTTTAATGCTCGTTTTATGATGATTTAATTATGATTTAGTAAAAATGTTCTTAACTTCTGATGAGCTCTTCTGGATGAATTATTACAGGAAGCTGTGTTTCGGGGAAGCAACCTTTTGTGTGGTTGATTAAATTTGTAAAGAACAGGGCACAGCTATGTACCTGTAATGAAAAAGGTTTTGTTTTTTATTAATGTTTAATATGTACGCCGCCGCTGCACCTCGTGTCTCGAGTCCATGTCTGAGGGCACTCGTAGGTGCATGACACACTAAACAACTTACTACCATTGTACACTGGAGATAATCCAATTTTACATACATGTACAACCAAAAGTAGGACATAATAGAAAGGAAGATCAAATATGCAGCAGATGGATTGATATTTCTGCTGCATGGTGTGAGGTTACCGTCCTTTACTTGTACCAAGCATACTAATGCGCCTCATCTCTATTCTGAATTTGTTAAATAATCATTCCTTTTGCACCATAATGATGTACTTTCATTGCGATCTTTTCAGGATTAATCTCATGCATATGCTTGCAATACCTTTTTTTGTTCCCCCCTCTCTCGTTTGTTGCTCTGTAAACCCAACCCGCTGTCCAACGTTTTCTCTGAATCTAACCGTCTGGTGTCTCTCTGTGTGTGTGCAGTTGGCCACGTGGGACCCGGTTCATGGATTGAATGGCACTCTGACAGACAGGAAATTGGAAAATAACATGAGGGGAGTTGTGCTCCGAGTCGTCACCGTTCTGGTGAGTATGGCTGACCAGTGTGTTAATCTGTGCACCTGTCTTTCTTTCTTTTCTTTTCTTTTTTTTCCTATCCTGTGATTTCTAATTGTCCACACACACAAAAAAAGGACCCATTTCAGGGCTCCCTGTTTGGAAAATTTGTCTGTTGTTCTCCCTGATGAATGAAAAAGGGACTGCTGTGACTCACGCCGGCATGTCAGATTTCAGCCTTTCGCTCTATTGTGCGTCTGTCCTTTTGTCTAGTTTTCTGCCCATCATTCAATTCCGTCTCGACGGAGACGGAGCGAGGGACAGATTGAGAGCTTATGTGAGAGAATGAAAATGGCACACAAACATTTATGAGACAAAGTGACGAGAGGAAAAGAGAGGAGTCAGAAAATATAAAGAAACCGGAGCAAGGTGAGCTTGCTAATGGACCGAGCTATCATCATTTCATTAGCTTCCGTTCTGACATTTGACAGCTAGATGATAGAGACTGTTGGAGTCTTGATGATAGTGGGACTCCAGCTTACCAGCTCTGTCTGTCTCGCCTGCAGCATCGATTTGAGTACATCCCATGAGTGCTTTAAAGATTCACTGCTGTAAATTCTTCATATCCTGTCTTTGAAGTCAGAAACAGAGAAAAAAGAGATAATGCTAGACATCTTTGTGGCTATCCCTTTTTCCCCTCTCTAATTTTTTTTTTTTTTTGCAGTCTTTGATTTTCATCATCCTTAAAGGGAGGGGAAAAAAAAAAAAAGGATATGGATTGCGTTTTTGAATATCGCCCCTTTTTCCCATCTCTTGAGTAAGGTGGCTTCAGTGATGGGAAATAAAGGTGTACTGTTTGTGCACATTTATGTTCCATGTTGGGTAAATATATGTGAGCTGGATGTCTCTTGCGACCCTCAAGACAGAGAAAGAAATTGTGTGAATCGTTCAGGGCGCCGCCCAAACATACGTTCATATGTGGATGGTTGGAGGGTCTAAGTGTGTGTGCCAAGGTTCCTTCAGGGACCTTTTAACCAGATTGTTCTGTGTTGCCTTGAGTGTTTCCTTCTCTGCTTTCTGTCTGTGAGGTGTCAACGCTCTCACATGTAGAGCGACTCTCACCCTGAAACAGCAACAACGCACAAACATTCACCTGCGAGATGATTTGTTCGTTCCACTCTGTTATCCAGAGTGTTAAATAGGTATCGATCGGCTAATTGGCGATGAGATCATTCCTCTATTAGCGGCCAATGACTCTAAATCAATGCTATCGATTAGCTGGGACTGTATTGATTATTAAATGGATGTGACCAAGCCGTGGCCATATCAGCGTAATTATTTTTTTATGGCCCTCCGCGGGGCTCAGTAGTATCTTCTGGTCACAAATGTCACCAAGTTTTATGTATTTTTCAGCTTATTTTGAAGTGTTTAAGCAGCTACAGTGAGCTTCTTTAGACAGTCGCACGACCAAGAAATTACAACTCGCTGACCTCCATGTGTTTTAGCTGGATTCATCTCAGCAGCTTAGTTTCCATCTTTTCACTTCCTTAATTTTTTTTAAGGGTTTCCCCGGTTCTACTCCACATTTATGAGCAGCAAGCTGTGAATACATCTACAGCAGCCCAAATATGCAGCCGAAGGCAGAAGATGTCCCTTTTTTAACTTGAGTTCCCATTTCTAAAGATAATGAAGAGCACTCACAGTGTTTTCCCTAAATGAACCTAAAGTTTTACTTTGGAGTATGGTGAGGCGTAAAGAAACCACGAGTGAAACCAACAATCGAAAGCTTTGTGATGATTGATGATGATAATCAGTGGTGGTTATCAAGGTTGCATTCAGTTGTTTTAGACACTGAGTTGGGTTAAATGTCGTTTACATGGATGGTTGAGTGCTTTTGTTTTCAGTGCTGCAGGTAAAGTTACGTTTCATTTAACATAAGATGTTTGCATATGCAGACACTGACAATTTATAGATCTGATTACAGTAGTTCTTTATTTTCTGTTGTCTGTTCATTTGGAAAGTTTAGTCATGAAAAGACGTAGTTAGTTTTCTAAGACACAGCTGTCAAAAGTAACCACAACTGTCACATAACATTAAACTGTTAGTGTTTTCATACAGACTGTTTAAAATGTGTTGCACCACACTGAGTACAGGTGGAAAAAAATCACATGAAACCAAGAGACGACTTTTTGAATCAGAATGAGGAAGAACTGACCATACTGTTTCTGTTCCATGTTGGCTTTAAACCCTCAAATGCCGATAAACGGCTAAATTCGGTAACGTCTTCAAGTTAATTTAATCAATACAAGAATAATAATAATTCAGGTTTAGTACCTCCAAGTCCGAGGCCATGGTTCTCTGCCAGAAACTGGTGGATTGAGTTGCTTCCTCAAGCGAGGGAGTTTAAGTATCTCGGGATCTTGTTCACGAGTGATGGGAAAACAGAGCGCAAGATGGACAGGCGGCTCGGTGCAACGTCAGCAGTAATGTGGGCGCTGTACCGGACCATTGTGGTGAAGAGGGAGCTGAGCCTCAAGGCAAAGCTCTTGATTTACCAGTCCATCTACGACCCGACCCTCACCTATGGTCATGAGCTTTGGGTTGTGACCAAAAGAACGAGATCGCGGATACAGGCGGCCCAAATGAGCTTCCTCCGCAGGGTGGCTGGGCTCAGCCTTAGAGATAGGGTGAGGAGCTCGGACATCCGGAGGGAGCTCGGAGTAGAGCCGCTGCTCCTTCGCGTCAACAGGAACCAGTTGAGGTGGTATGGACATCTGATTCGGATGCCGCCAGAGAGGCTTCCTCTGGAGGTCTTCCGAACACCTGGGAGGAGACCCCGGGGCAGACCCAGAACCTGCTGGAGGGATCATATCTCTCGGCTGGCCTGGGAACGCCTCGACATGCCCCAGGAAGAGGGGGGAGGGAAGTCTGGAATGACTTGCTGCCCCCGCGACCTGACCCCAGATAAACAGAAGAAAATGGATGGATGAAAAACAATAATAAAAAATAAAGCTTTAAACCATGAACTTACACAAATGTAAAAGTATTTAGTTAAAAAGTTTTTTTAAACTAAAATGACATGGGAATCACCAAAAAAAAGCTCGGTTAAGGTTAGAGACCGATTATGGTTATTGTAGCTGTTATTAAATTGGGATAATACACACAAACAATGACGAAATGCAGCAAAAGTAAAGCTAAGGACTCTTCAACTTCTAGTTCCAGGTGTCGTCTGAACCTCCAAAGCACGGCGCCATTGTGCTTAAACATATCGCAGAGGCTTTACCTAGAGTGCATGTTGGAGTCTATAAAACTGTCGCATCTATTGAACTGCCAGAAGAACGACGTAGAGAAAAATGTGCAGTGCATCATCTACATAAACCACAAAGTTCAGGGTTTTCTCGTTGATTCCCACTTTGAACAGCTTGTCTGTTGTTTTGGAATTCATATTCTCTGTCTTTATCAAACAGAGACTGAAGGGAAATGCATTCTTATAACAATATAAAATCTAATCTTCTGCAGAGATTGCCAGGGCTTTTCAAAATACATCTTACATCAATTTCACAGACAAATCCACAGAGTGTTTTGAAATGCTCACCATGCTGCAAATCACCGCATGACTCTGTCAGTGTCAGCATTCCCTCAAAGGGCTCTTCAAATGCCATTACTTAGTCTTCGTGGAAAATTGCTGTTCCTTCGCTCAATCATGTCTGCAGAAACGCCCGAGCAGCGCTGAGACCACATGTGGTACTTCCAGTCAAGAGGAGACAGAGGATGAACTTGTGCCAAAGGAATTAGTGCGGAGGAAAAGGGAGGAGGAGGAGGAGGGGATGGAGCGGAGAGACAGGAACACCATCGAGCAAACAAAGCGGAGATGAAGCAGCAGGATTACTGGATGTTGAGGGATGTGAGATAATACTGCGAGGATGACAAGTGGGAAGTAATGTAACCTTGATGGATGGATAGACGGCGGGATGGAGAGGAGCGAGGTGTCCCAGACATATGTTTAGGGGAAAGCTTGGAGACGTTGTGGCGTGGAGAGATGCCAAATGTTGTATATTACAGCTGGTGAGTGGCAGGGGGAAGGAGGAGACTGCAAAACACCAACAGAGACAGAAAGAAAAAGAGATTAGCATCACAAAGCCATACCACATCTAACAAGGTCATTTTTTGTTACAAGATTTCAGTCTGGAAACCATCGACTGAGTATCGATTGAGCCCAGAAGCTTAAAGCCGGACCAAACTGTGAGCTATGGGAGACGTTATATGATTACATGACCCATTGCTTGCCAAAAGCCAACACTTGGATCGACTCTTTAAACCAAATTTTCAAGAGATGAATAAATACTTTTCTTCAGCTACGCGTCTGGTTCTTTTACTGCAGATTTTATTTGAGAAAGAAAAGAATGTAGCCAGTAGCCACCATTGTTAAACGAGCTTAAAAAAGAAAAGAAAGAAAGACCGACCAGTGACACTCCAACAAGTGTGTTCATCTTGTCAGGTGCAGAAAACATTCGTGTCGATGTCAAAGCGAAGGAGAGAACTGTCAAGTAAAGCGCAGCAAACTTGAAATGACATCTGTCTCGAGCAACCTGTGCCCTTGCCGGAGAAAAGTGAGCTAAACTCAAACTGTTGGTTGGCTTTGAGGCATGAGAGAGACATGAGGTGCTTTTATATTCGTCCGGAGTCCTTCACCTGCAGTGCACCGTAATCAGACGAAAACACCAAACGGTATTTTTAGCGCCGCCCTGTCATTCACACACACCTACACACAATTTCAGTTTCTTTTGTTTGCATAGATTCGCTGCTTCTGTTGGTTGGACGTTGGTTTGATGAGCATGCTGACTGTGTTTGTGTGTGTGTGTGTGTGTGTGTGTGTGTGTGTGAATCGACTTGTTTGTACAGTACATGCATCCATGTGTGTGTACACAGCAGAGACTGGAATGCCAACTGGAAAGTAATCAATTGCACAATGAGCCAAAAAAATTAGAGGAAATGAAAGACAGATATTTTAAAGGTGTTTTTGTAGAACAGTCCTACGAGCTTTTTGTGATCTTTTTTTCTTTTTAATTCTCCTGAGGACTTTCTTTTTTCCTTGTTTTTTTTTTTTGCACCTAAAAGGTGACATTTTGAAAATCGTCCTTCTTGCTCAATTATTCATAATATTTCTTTGGTTTTCGTTGTTTATTACATTCTTATGTTGCTCTGCTCTTCAGAGGGAGCTTTTTTTAAGAATATGAGAACAGAATAATTTCCAAATATTAATTCATTTTGTGTATAATATTCCTGCACCAGGAGCATGCCGACAAAATGATGAAACTTTGATATTTAAATTCTGTTGATGACTACTGGTATCAAAAATGCTGTGAACATTTACCTCACAAGTGTATTTTTAGCTATTACGGGCTGGGCAAAAAGCCAGCTGTGCTTTTATTCCCCTATACAACAAGGTCAGCCATGTTTTTTTCACCATATATAAAAGATTAAAGTACCCAAATAGAGAGGCAATCAGTGGCACTTGGAGGGGGGCGCTCAGTATGTATGGGTGCATGTGTTCGTGGGTGTTCCTGCCGTGATTGATGGGTGCTCGTGGTGAGAGAGGGATTTGGCATGCGCGTCCACTCACTGCCTAATAGCTTATTGAACTGCAGCAGCTAGCAAGGATTAGAAACCGCCAAGTTAATGCGTGGCATAGCCTGTGTGCATATGTTTGTGTCTGTATGTGTGTGCTTAATGTGCAGCCAGTATCCAGTCGATAACACACCGGCCTTCATAAATCTGCAAGACACATTGGCCGACAACATTTCACTCATCAATAGGGATTTATTAAAGAAAAGAGAATAAAAGGAGTGGTGGTGGAGGCCGAGATAAAAAAAAACTCCTCAGTGATGAACTCAGTCAAAGGTGCAGAAAATAAAAGTAAAACTTGTGTTTTTCTGCTTTTCTCTAATGGGTGGTTCCTCCTAGTTTCCTGCCTCCCTTTCAAAAAAATGACTCGCTTCTCTTTGCACTTTGTTCACTTAATTGCCTAAAATGTCAGCGTTGTTGGACGTCGTTTAGCCTCACCAGTAAGCTGCCCTTTACATGCCACAGCGGTATCGATAAACAAGAGGTGCAGCCATCCCGATGGTATTTCAAAATGAACCAATCAAAAAACCACGGCTGCTGAATTGCGCGGTGCAATTATTGATTTTCAGCTTTTTAATTCACTTGAAAATGTTAAATAGGTTGTTTTTTTTTAAATAAATTATTAAGTCGGGTTCCCTCTGCGAATACAAAAAAATAAAAAAGGCAGCTGAGTAAGGAAGTTTGGGAGCCCTGCCAAAATATAATCGAGGTGTACATCTTGATTTTCTCTTGATTGCAAGCAGGGAGCCAAAAAGAGCGCCGAGTTAGGAGTGTGGACAGGTGGACGGATAGAAACATGAGGACTGGGTGCCACATAGGCTTGGACTAAACAGTGCTGCAACTTTACTTCTGTTCACGTTTGTTTTGTTTTGTTTTTCCCCCTTTTTAATCTCTTTCTACAATAATAGCTGCTCGATTAAGGTAGTTTGCAAAGTTTTTTTCCCCCCTAAAGACATGCGACCACAAGGTTAGCTTTGAAAAGTAGCAATTTGCCTGTGAAAGCAAAGAAAAGCATCACCATTAGTCAACATGAAACAGGTCTTTAAAGCAAAGAGGGTCCTTGCATCTGTGTGACATCTGCTTTCGGATTTTGACGCCGGCTCTTATACCGACATGATTGGAGTCATCAGAATGAGTGTTTGTGGTGGTATAATGGCCATTTGAGTAATGGCTGATTTAATGCTTGAATGACTGGCGTATTGATTGACTGCTCGACTGACTTGCTGACACGCTGATTGATTGCTGCCTTTCAGGAGGAGCCGTTTGTAATGGTGTCGGAAAACGTTCTGGGGAAACCGAAGAAGTACCAGGGCTTCTCCATTGACGTCCTGGATGCTCTGTCCAACTACCTGGGCTTTAAGTACGAGATATACGTCGCTCCGGACCATAAATACGGCAGCTTGCAGCCCGACGGTCAGTGGAACGGACTGATGGGTGAACTGGTCTTCAAGGTGAGAAGATAATTTACTTTCACACATGAACGCACACAAACACGTACACTTACGATGCATAAAATTGAATATCGGAGAGCAGTCAGCATCAAAATCCATATTGTCTCTCCATAACATGCAGAGACGGTGTTTTAAATAGTATTTGTTTGCCTTTTTATGCACCAAACTGCACAAGGTGGAGAAGCATCCATGCGAGCAGGCACAGACCAAAGGCATCACTTATTAAGTAGGACTGTAGCCTCCCACAAGTTCAGTCTGCACAGCCTTAAGTCCCATCATAACATTCCCACTCGAAATCATGTCACTTCAAAAGCAAATATTTGAATGAGAGTACCAGTTTGACGTCTTTAAACTTCTTTAATTTGGAGAGAGACTCAGACACTCATTCAAGAACTCTCGCAGCATGAAGTCTGAAGTGGAAGAAGAGAGGGGCTGACCTCAAAGATTGTGTGATATTGCACATTGGTGAAAACAGAGCGGCTTTTTTAATAATTTGACAAGCTTCAAGTATCTTCAAGTGTTTGATGCATAACTGCTGGCAGACACTTAAAGTGCTTCAGTGGAAAGTGAAAAACGTGGAGTTGTGAAGCTGTAAATGTGGATTCCACAAAGATGGAGAGGACTCTAGTCTGAGGGTGATGAATTAGCGTTGTTGGAAACTGACTACTTCAACCGTGACCAAACTGTTGTACCAGACAGGTCAGTGTTCGGAGCTCAAAATGAACCAATTTCACTTTGAGTTGTGTGACAAACTTTTGTGTAACAAGCAAATCATTTGTGCCCTGAGGGCTATTGCCCTCAGTTTGGGTATCCAAGATGTTGACCTTTTATTGATTCTAACATGCTGATGACAGTTTCAGATGGAGACATGGACAACCTTTTTAGTGCTGGCAAACAGAAGAATATTTAAATTATGCAGGCAAAGTATTAAATAGCAGGCTGTTTGGTGGATCGGTGGTTAGCACTGTTGCCTCGCAGCAAGATCGCTGGTTCGTGTCCCAGTGAGGACATCCTGGGATCTTTCTGCGTGGAGTTTGCATGTTCTCCCCGCGCAGTGTGGGTTCTCTCTGGGTTCTCCAGCTTTTTCCCACACAGTCCAAAAACATGTTGAGGTTAATTGGTGATTCTAAATTGTCCGTAGGTGTGAATGTGAGTGTGCTTGGTTGTCTGTCTATAGTCAGCTGGGATAGACTCCAGCCCCCCCCCCGAGACCCTAGTGAGGATTAAGTGGTGTATAGATAATGGATGGATGGATGTATTCAATACATATAACCTTTTAAAACAAAACAAGCATAGAAAAAGTGTTACGACCCAGTGACTAAAGGACGTGAGTTTGGACCCAAAATGAGAGGGAGACAGGATAAAGGGAAAAACAGGTTTATTTGAGGGAATCCGGGAGTGAGGGACACCAGGAGGCAGGTGAGGGATCCGGGGTGGGTGCGTAGGCTTCAGCCGAGGGAGGAGGGTGATTTCCTGTGCAGGTGTTCGTGGAGGGGAAAGTCCAACTCGTGTTCCGCAGAGTGAAAGCTGGTGTGGGAGATCGAGCGGCTGGACGCTAGGATGCAAGGAAAGACAGAATAGGTTACTCGTGAGCTCGAGAGTTGTCAGTGTAAACCACCTCAACTTAGTGAACACGACTAAGCGGCCTGATGTACCACTCGTGGAGCTGACAATCGTCTGGCACTGGAGCCCAAGTGAACAGCGGCTTTATCCAGCGCACTGATGAGAACAATGAGCTGCAGCTGTGCCAGCGTAGGAACGTCCTCCTCCAACCAACCCCGCCCAGCCTGAAACCAACAGCACAGCCAGCTGAAAACACAGGCGACAACAGAAACCCGAAACTGCACCACAGAACAAGTCCATAATTACCACAAACAGAAGACGACCAATCAGATGTACACAGTCAGTGTTCTTATGAGAGTATAAATCTGAAGGAACACCTGGAAACAATAAAAAGAAGCTTTTAAAATACCAAATAGTTCATGGTTTCAGAGGGTTTTCTGTTCTTCTGGGGCCTTGATTCCTTAAAACACTAGAAGACTGTTGTCATGTGGGGGTCTGCCAGCAAAAAGGGAGCAAACGCCCCTTAGTTCCTCACAGTTACGCCATTCTTTTGTCCCCAAAACTGCTAATAATTTGTTGAAATGCAACAAGACCAATGCAGTATTAGCAACAGTAACACCTCCCTCCAAAGCCCCACCTATTTAACACCAGAATTGAGCAGGTGTTGGTAAAAGAAATCAACTACCTACATAACTGTCACCATGTAAAGTGAAATAACTTTACTCATAATTACTGCCGCGACCATCCAATTCAACTATTCTTATGCCTTTCTGTGCCAAAAAAGAGAGAAAAATATGTTTTGCATCCTGAAGCGACTTACATGAGTTGCCTACAAAACTAATGGAGAGTAATTAAGACCTCAATGAAAATGCAATTTAACATTTAATCCAGTCACTTTAGCTGTGCGACACTGACCACACCTAAAACGACTGACCACATCATTGACCACATTACCGGCTGCACCTGTTAAAGTCAATATCTCTCCGCTTTATTGCCATAAGCAACTGTTAAATAGCGTTCATCTAATATGCTGCCATCACGCAAAGTGTCAGTTTAACCTACGATGGCAGAAGTGCATTCAACAATCCCCCATCCCAAATCCGTAGCCATTTACATACAACACATACTAAGCTGGTCTTTTATGGGAATTTCTGGCTGCCTATACATTATACATGTGTAAGCCTGTTTGTGCAAGTTCATATCTTCATGTGTACAATGCCCCTTTTATGTCCTCCTGGAATTAAATTAAGCCGCTGCATGTTTTGTTCATTCTCCATAGGTCGAGGATGTTGGGGGTTTTTTTGTATCAGCAGTATTTTTTATTTTTTTTCCAAAAGTTTCCCATGCCTTCATTTCATTATTTTCTTTTGGCTGTGTGTCAGGCTTGAGCAATTTTCAAGACTCCGCTCTCCTTCCCTTGACCTTGAATACTTGTGTTTGTATTCAGCATTTGTATCCCGGCTCACGAAATTATAGAGAAATGCTTTGAGCACAATGCATATTTATGTGTACACAGACAGGCACAAGCTGTAAATAAACTGAACATGCAAATAATTTTGTTTTCCCCATCAGTCAGCAACAAGGTTTATCTCTCCAAAAACCCAATTATACCAGATAATTATTACCCAGAGTGCTCTCTGTAACTTTCCGTGTTGACTGACCGCATGTGTCAGCTTGGAAATTCATCTCTTCTCTCCACACACACACACACACACACACACACACACTCGCATGCATATCGTGGTGGCGTCTCCACCAAAAGGCATCCTGCAGGGTTTTTCATAATATTCTTCTTATGCAGTGTAAGTGACAATTTCTGCACATTTAAGCATTTTGTTTCCTCACTCAACTGTGAAATTAGCAGATTTTTTCTGCCTACAGTGGATTAAAAATTTGTTTGTTTTGCGTGTGTGTGTGTGTGTGTGTGTGTGTGGATGCGGATGTGGTGTGTGTCTTCGTAAGTGCATAATCCGTGTGTGTGTGCAGTGCCTGTAGGGCTTAGCCTTCACCTACAAATTCACCTAACTTGTTACAGTCAGTTGTTTCTAGCAACAAAAGAAAATCTCATTATCGAACAAGTTCATAATACGCGCCTCTGTCTCGCACCGGTATAGATTTCAAGCACAAGCACGCGCTCACAGCGGCGTTCTAAATCCTTGTTATGGTACAAGCAGATGTCTACAGCTGCTAGCAAAGCACTGGGGACTGGAAACGTTTTAATTAGCCATCATTGTTTCTGCATTAAAGCTAAGATCAGCCTATTTTTCCTGGCAGACATACTCCCTGACAGTTGTTTTTTTTTTTTTTTTAACTTAGTCCTTACATGTACATAATTAAAGCAGTCGTTTGTTGTCTACAAGTGATAAGGAAAAGGTTTAAGTGCTTGTGAAGGCACGCCGACAAAAAAAAAAGCAGATCAATGAGTTAATGAATAAATGATTCAGAGGTCGCATATCAAAAGATGTCCAATCCACCTTGGGCTCACAGCACGCACGTGAATACTTATGTACATTACTGGAAATAAAAACTCATAACATGAAGCTCGTTATGAGAATATTCATACGTGAGCTTGCTGTTGGGGATCCTCTCTCTTCTAATCTTAGTTTTATCTTTAATTATCCTCAGTTTTACTGTTTAATCAGCACAATATTTAACATGCAGTCAGTCTCAGTGAGTAGAAATGTTTTGACAAACCCGTGCTTGCCTAATTTCTATTCCCTGCCTCGTTGACTAAAAGTGCAAATGGTGATTAATTTGCTCATATCAGAGAGAGTTTTTCTAAAGTTAGTAGACTGGAACAGGGACCGTCATGGTTGCACGATCAGGAAAATTTCCCCCAAAATCTTGTAATTGTAACTACTGGTGCCATTACCAGTAACCATCATAATCGTTTTCTTTTTGCAAAAGAACAAACAACATTAACATTTTTTGAACAAGATATATTTCCATGTAATAGTCACGGTTCTTATAATTGTGACAAATAAAGGCCTTGAATCTTTGAATCCTTAGTAGAGCTTCACTAATCTTTAGCTACAAAAACCTACATTTTCCAGACGAGCTCCTCACCGACACATTTTCACAATGTTGATGCTTCTAACTTCTCCCTTCCTCTGTGCCTCTTGCAGCGAGCCGATGTGGGGCTCTCCGCTTTGACCATCACGCCTGAGCGAGAGAGCGTTGTGGACTTCACCACACGCTACATGGATTATTCTGTGGGCGTTCTGCTGCGCAAGGCCGAACGCACCGTGGACATGTTCGCCTGCCTGGCACCCTTCGACCTGTCACTGTGGGCGTGCATCGCAGGCACCGTGCTTCTCGTTGGCATCCTGGTGTACTTGCTCAACTGGCTCAACCCACCGCGGCTGCCCATGGGATCCGTGTCTTCGACAACGCTGTATAATTCCATGTGGTTTGTCTACGGCTCCTTTGTACAACAAGGTAAGAAAGAGTTGGGCCGGAGGAAAGGGGAAAGCAGGGGGCAGGAAAACAAAAACGGACCACCTGATGGATGAATGAATAGAGTTTTGGATGGTTAGATACACAGCTGTGGTGGTAAATACTGGCGGTTTTATATGACTACGAGCAACGATCAAAAACTTTACAAAACTATAGCAATAAAAATGAAAAGTCATACGTGATTTAAATTGATGTACATCGATACAGAAGTTCCAGGGCTTCAACAATGCTTGGAAAGCATTGGAATGGAATTATAGCTATGTAAGCCTATCAAGCACCATTTGCTATGAGTCTTCTAAACTGTGGCAAAATGTAGATTGTTCACCTCAAACACCTCAGGACGTCACAGTAGAACTTCGTCCACCTTGGGGGGGGATTAATTCCCACTCTTGAACAGGTGTGTCTTCTCCAGTCTTGGAAATGTGATCTGTTTCTTCCCTTGGTGGTAGCTGTAGGGGTTCCTCTCATCACCAGTGGTTATCCTTTGGAAAAATCACAAATGGGCACCTAGCACTGGTTACAAAAATGTGTAGGACAGGTCACATTGGTGTCAGCTCCTCTCTGGACTTGTGATCAGTAGTTAGGCACTCAGTTCAGAGCAACAAGTCTGAACTTTTTGATTGCACCATGTGTTTCTTGGAGGCATGTTTGCTTATGAGTAGGTTCCCCAGAGTAGATTGGAAACAGTGAAGCTTGCTAAGAGCTCTATGTATGTATGTACATTTCAGAGGGATGCCCCTCCACGCTCCCTTCACTTTGTGAACTGGATAAAATGTTGATAATTAATGACTCAAGCAGCCATTATGTTTACTCTAAAATGCATTAGGTAGTAATAACAGTTTACAATTTCATTTAGCAGACGCTAGCAGAGTAGATCACATTCATACACCAATGGAGCTGCCATGCAAGATGCTGCCCTCCATTGGGCGCAACTTCAGGTTCAGTGTCTTGCCCAAGGACACTTCAACTGTGGGGGATCGAACCACCAACCTTGCAATTAGAGGCCCACCCACTCTACCACCTGAGCCACGGCCGTTTGACAGTAGCTAATAATATAATAGTAGTTTCTAGGAAGTAGTGTTTTTCTTTGTTTGTCTCACAACTCCCCATGTGACCAAGAGTGGTCGTAGACTAACAATAGTTTGATTATTTATGGTGTTAGCATGCTTGGTGTGTTGTTTACTCTTGTTGCCTTCTCATGAAGTTAGTCAAGCGCTATAATTATGCCATTCTCTGAACTATGTTTCTTAGCCCAGCTGTCAACCAGAAGGTGCGCAGTAGTGTTGTTATTTGCCTATGGGAGGACATGGACTGTTACAACATCATGCTGTTTTTTTGCAGGTTCCGTTTCAAAGGTAAAAGATAGAGGGATCATGGGAGGGGTGGGAAGCATATAACAAAAAATGTGATTGCTAAAGCAATCGAAATGTCAAAAATTTGATAATACCTGTCCCCTGGGTGTCGTAAGTGTGAACTGACCTTTCGTGTTTCAGCACAATCGTCAAATTAGAGCAAAAGGGAGGAGACATTTTGTTCCACATGGATTGAGCGGAGGATAATGGCCTCAACCTGGTTATCGGCCCAAAGATTTTCCGGGATCCATCAGGCCGTGCTCAAATGTAGAGATCAGACAATTGACACCTGGAGAAGGATTTACATTTCATCATTGTAGGAACAGAGGCATGGCAAAGAGGCAAAATGCACCGGGAACGGGGGGAAAGAAAGAACATATAAATGTGTATATCTGTTTTTAAACTCATGCACGTGTTTCATTAAGCATCTATTTTTCGATAGTTTAAGAGGAGACACAAGTGTCTTCCTCGGCTTATTCTTGTGTTTGTGTCTAAATAACTGCTGCTTTCAAATGAGCACAATGTACTGTTGTTGTCATGCTCTGGGCCTGGCAATAGTTAATTTTTTAAGCTACATTAATTATGCAAATTTAAGGAGGAAGGATTTTTTTATTTATTTATTTTTTTAACACTGCCTGTGAAACGTTTTGGGCCCTGAATAAGCAACTGATGAGCATTTCACCGTTTGGTAAATAATCCTCCATCTTGTGCTGCAGATAATGGTGGTAATGATGATGATGATGATACACGCTAATTGCTGTTTGATATTCACGATCATTTCTCTTTTTAGCTGTAATTAACATTTTAGTCATGGTGTCATTAGAAAGAAATGTAGAGAGAGAGGGAGAGAGAGAGAGAGAAAGGATTTAGTTCTTTAAGAGTGTGTTTGTCCTTTGTATGTATATTCAGGGTAATGCATCCCAGTGTGGGACACAAGTAGAGGTCAGTGAGGAATAAATCAGGAATGACCTAATAACTACTAATTAATAAATCATTATTGACTTTCTTTTAAAATCGTTCCTCATTAAATTTGAACCAGCCACTGTGTTGCACAAAGTAGTTTCCACTCATTTATTACTAATTATTCAACCAACAGTTAATAAAGTGACTCATCATACGGAGCAGTTACCAGGGAGCTCCTCACTACTTCATGATTACCTGAAATAAAGCATCATCACACAACACGCAGGTAAATACTGAGGAATGCACAAGTAGTTCCTTAAAAACAAACCAGAGACAGCAAGAAAAGTAACTAATGATTAATTAAGTAGTAATTAAATTGTTGTTATTACTTTGTGACACTCAGCAGCTGGTTCGGAGTTAATCAAGAACTACTATTCAATTATTAATGATTCTTTCGTTATCAGGTCGTTCCTTGTTCTTTCCTCACTTGCACTTTAGTGGCTGCTTGCATTTTCATGACTCTGCACCAGCAACAGCCAAGACTGGATGCATCTGTCCACCTGTACATACTGTCCCTCCAGCCTTTTCTCATAAACGTGGTTTGCTTTAAATTTGGCACAAACAATCACTTGGAGCCATGAATGAACTGGAACATGGTTTGGGCCGTAACATAAATGTGTTTGTGATCATATTACACATTTAATCAGATACTGAACTGGTTTCACTAATCGTTGATGCCAACCTGAATCTGAAATGATCCTATAGGTCTGTTTTTGCTGCTAGCTTGAAGATGTGCGTGACGTATCCACCATTTTGAATTTGTAGCTTCTTTGCAGCAACATATTTGCAGCA